TTAAATATATCGGCTTATTTTTACTTTCTTCTAATCTTATAGCAGCCACCAAACTATCGGCTAGCTATCGATTAGATAATTGCTTGATGATATTTGGTTTATATTTTTGATTTTGACCAGTGAACATAAGCTCTTTTTAAAATAACCTGTCTAGCTAGACGAACAAAGACTATATCTCCAGAAACAAGGCCTTGTCCAACAATGTTCCATTTTACACAATTCATTATACTCCTATTGGTTGTATTGCTTTGTCAGCTCTCGCTTTTTCTACATATTTTTCCATTTCATATCATCCAACACCAGGGCATCCATATCTGTGCACCAACTTAAAGCTCTTTTAAACTGGTTAAGCCAAATCCTGGCCCAATATAGACTGCCTTTCGTAAGTGTCGTGAGAATTTTCAGCTATCACCCTTAACTGTTGCGGCCTATCACCAGCCCTTTAGAAAACATCTAGTTCCTTTAGAAAACTTTTAACCTGATTTGGAAAAGGCTGCGGCTGAACACTTTTCTTCTTTTTGGATGGCTCAAAATCATCAACAGATACTTCCGAACACAACCCAGCCCTACTTTCCCTTGCTAACTTAGCCACAACTTCCTTTTTCAGTCCCAAATCTGATACGTCTATTCCTTTACAGACAACTCTCAACTTCTCCAGCAATAAACATTCTAAATTTGACTCAAGGCTCGCTTGAGTCATGTTGAGTTGAGCCAAAACGTCATTCGCTCTAATGGGTTCTGAATCCTTATTTGACGTCGACATAGGGATAACGATAATATTTAAGACTTTACTTTGTTGAATAGAAAAATCACGTTTATTTTTAAGTAACAACTAAAACTAATTTGTTTAACTTTCATATAGGAAAAAAGAATGTTTATTTTTAAGATAAAAACAGGTAAAACAAGTATAACAGGTATAGCACGAAAAAACCAGACAAAGTCGGGTTAGCAGAAAAAAACAGAAGCTACCTTTCCTGGAAAAAAACCCATTCCTACTAAATACTATTATGCCTACTAATCTCAATTACTACGTCAATACATTATAAAATCACATATAAATCAAAATAATGCCTCAAATGAAATCACACAATAAATCACTATGATGCAACAAATGACTAAAGTCATACGATAAAATACGATAATGCAGCAATGATCAATTACAATATACCCGTGATTGATTCAAGACAAAATGCTGCTCCGATACTTTGTATCGGGCAGCTAATAACGCTCATGTGCATCCCAAATTAACACGCATCCTCTTATAAAAAAATAAAAAAAGTAAAAAGTGTACTAGATTGGATTTAGTACTGAGTAAAATTTTCTTTGTATCTAACAAATATGCAAAAATACCGTTTCTGATGGATCATCAGTACTGTTCCTGATAGAGTGAGAAAAAAAGTCGATTTACATACCGTTCCTGATAGGGTTCTAAAAAAGGGCCTCCAAAATACTATACTATATAATGAAAAAAAGTTTGGATTAGGGTTCGTTTTTAGAACCCTACTCAAATAAATTTTTTTTTTTTAACTCCATCAAGATCGGTATTGCTGATCTATCAGGAATAGTATTTTTGCAACAAATGTTGTTCTCTATACTGAGAGGATTCTAACAGTGGTAAAATCATCAAGACCACCCAAGAGATTGTTGCAATGGCTTTTCGAAATTTTAAAACGTTTGTTTACATTGGGTTACATCAGTGTTAATTTTTTAGTAAACTTTTCTGTGTGGCAAATAAAGGAAACTATAAGCAACTGTTTTAAAAGTGTGTGCACTACTTACAAAGTGTCAATTTTTGCACATCTGTTCAAAAGAAAATATGCGCAAAATTTTGTTTCTGTGTGCTGCGCACAGTCCGCACAACGAAAAATAATCACTGGTTTACATGATCTGCAGGTCAAACAAATGTAAACAAACGGTTTAAAATTTCAAGAAGCCACCACGGATGATTTACTGACTTTTTTTGATGATTTTACCACTATTTGAATTGTTTCAGTCTGTAGAACAACTTTAATTAAAGTTCAAAGGAATGTTTACTAAATACCAAATCCAGTTTTGGTGCATTTTTTATTTCTTACTATACTTATTATTATTAAGGGGTGATTATTTAACCTATATTTCGAAATAACGCATATGCGCGTACTCAAAATAACGCACAGGTCAATTAATTAACGCGCATGTGGGCATTATTTCGCACTTATGCGGTATATAAATTTAGTATTTCAAAATTTAATTATATATTTACTATTTATATTATCAATGTAAATATTATCAACATTAATAATAATACTAATAATAATATTTTTTTAAAAAGTGAGGCCTTTATTGAATTATTATGCGTTACACTATTTAAATGGATTACATGAATTATTACAGGGATCTACAACTAGGACTAGTTTATCTTTGGCTCAAAGCTCTATTAAAGTGGGCTACCTGGCCTCCACTAGATTTAGTTTAGCTATGTATGATGTAGATATATTGGTTGTAGGCAAGATATTTGCCCATTTGTTGTATTTAGCTATACTAGTTCGGGAGTGGGGAGTAGGTGTAATAATGTTAGTGTCCGTTAAGAGTTCATTTTGGTGTACACCTTTACAACGTTCTAGCTATATGTGTTTGTAGATATTGGTGGATATCTTATGAGGTATTTTGATAAAGATGCTTTTGGAGATCGAGGTGACTCCCGGACGTCATCTGAGATTATGCCTTGTAGTATCAAGGTATCGGGTAAATGTGTGAAGAAAATTTGCGAAATTACCGAAGGAACTGGCAGCTGGGTACATTAATATTATAATATTTGTAAATTGAATATCTGAGTTAAAATTTGGAGATTGATGTAAACTGTCCTAGATTTTCTATGTGCATCTAGGACAGCATATTTCTATTTCTCCGCCGAAAAGTTAATAAATTAATGGTTCTTTATTTTATTTCCATAGATATATGAAAACAATAGTGCAATTCAGATTATCTTGTATAATTAATCATCATAAGAAATTTATATAGAGCATTTATATTTTTTAATAGATTGAAAGTCTTATATAAAACTTTAATATTGAAAGTAATTAAATTCATTGGCAAAAGAATCTCTCGCAGTATAGGTAACATCTATTCTAACTATCTTCTATATCTACACCTACATCTACACTTACG